AAGAACACTCATCCGCCTAACCCTAGGCCATCTAATAATAACCCTAACCCAACTATAAAAGTATCTCATCTGATAGATCAAGCATCTTTCTATATGTAGCTTGGTGATTGAAATAGTGCAAAAATATTTAGATAGAAGTCAACGGATCCATATCATTTCACCGACAATCTTCATAAAGACTTATTTCGCAGACAATTAATTCACAGATAAATTATTTACAAGCAATTGATTCACAATAAAATTCATTTCATGTGAAATAAACTTGTTTGTAAATTAATCATTTATAAAACAATCTTACTTGTAAATTAATCATCTGTGAAGGTGATAATAGACGTAGTGAAAGGGTGGAATAGAAGGTGGAAATGTAATAAAGGTGGAAGTAGAATGGAATGGTGGTAGAAGTGGGAGAAGGGAAACGGAAGGAAAAAGGTGGAATGAAAATAGAAGGGAAGGAAGTAGGAAGGAGAAAATGAAGAGAAAAAGAAATAGGTGGAATGGAAAGTGTGAACGACACGGCAGGCAGCAGCAGCGACACTTGAAAGAACAACGGAAATGAAATGGAAATCAAAATAAATTAGTGCTATTATTGATATTTGCACATACATACTATTTGGACAAGGTTGGAACGGTGGCGGGAAATATATAGTAGAAAGTTCAATAACAAAAGTGTAGCCTAAGAAGTTGAAAAAGGATTGTAAATATACTAACTTTACATAAAATATAACAAACAATCACTGTTACCGTTTAGCACAGCACATAATATCCCCGAAATAATATGAGCTTGTGGCTGGGAAAAGGGACAAATTTGACAAAAAATAATATTCACAAAAAATTATCTCACAAATTATCGATCAGAATCACATAATTTTTGAATATTATTTTTTGACAAATTCGTCCTTTCCTCAGCACCAAGCCTATATGCTACCACATGTAATAAATACATAGTACTATTGGTAAAATTGCTAGATCGTAAATAGTATCTGGTACTATTCTAGTATTTATAAAGTTCTTAAATAAGACTCCGAGCACTGTATTTAGCGCTAATATTAATACTTCTACCATAATCTAAACTATACATTTGACATTGACTCCTTGGATGACACTTCTTTTAATAACCATTAAAAAAAAAGCTAATTAGACTAGCATCAAACTCTTGTAACGGCTTGAAAAAAGATGTATAGTACCAAAACCGACTCCAGGTTAACAACAGCTTCGACGACTCTAGAGTGTAGAAATTTCAACAATGACGACTTCAACACGATTTCGAAAGCGGCCCCAGCGACGGTACCGTAAGAATAAGGAAAAGCCCTACCATATTTATGACTAAAAAAATGCTTTTGATATATTGGGAATGAGCAGATTCGAAAAGAGGTTAAAATTGTATATGTATCTTATCTCCAATTTTTATTATCA